AACCTTTCCACAAACACAGGTCTGAGTTCTCTCTGCCCCACCTGGCTGTGGCAGGGGTCTTGGTTTTCCCTCTCCCCACTCTGATAAAGCTGATCCAGCCTCAGTTACTCATGAGTTAAGGTTGTCTTGGTTTTGAAGGAATTTGCAATTTAAATCTTACTGGAGGTGCAAACAGCCAAGTCTTCAGTGGTCGATTATTGAAGTTACTGTAACCTTTCTGTCCTGTCAACATTTTGATGGTTTTCTTTCCAGTCTAGAAGTCATTTTTGTTTGTTTTGGTTTTGTTTTTTTAAGTAGCAACAGGCAAAAAGGTGTTAATCAAATTTGACTGCAATGAATTTATTTCAAGACTTGAGACCTACCATGAATCAATGTTTACAGATTCCCTGGACCATGCAATTGGCTGGAAGACAACTTATAACCCAAGGAAAGCATCACCATTATCTCTTGTTGTTTTGGCCCCAAACCCCCACAGTGCAGTAGTTTGGTAATGTTGTTATTGATTTTTTTTTTCTTTTTAGTTATTTAACTCACTTGTGGTACAATTCTAGCAGGCTATAATACTTGCCAAGTCTTTTATTTTATTCCACATTCAAAAGTCTGTATCTCTCAATTCTCTTGTATATTTAAAAGTTCAGCCTTGGAACCTCATTTCTAGGGCTCTCTGAATTTGTACCTGTAGGTATGGCAACAGCCTCCGGGTGATATTGAGAAAGCTAAATCTACCCCCAGGTTCTTAGGACAATGATAAGCTTTCTGTATTTATCTCATTTTAGACTCTTTTTTCAGACTTGCTTCACTTTTATTTATTTTAAGGGATTTATTAGTATATTAGATTTTCAGGGTCATGGCAAGTGCATAATAAATACAACTCTCATCAGTTCTCATGTTAATGTAATAGTAATACAAAGAGAACAGATTCAATGTAGTTCATTGATACAAATCTGAGAACATGATATTTCCCTCTGTCCTCCATCCTTCCTTCCTTCCTTTTTTAATTTTTGAGATCACACATTTTTAATCTACATCTTAGTCAAAGCTTGATGCTTCACTAAATAAAGAGTTCAGCAAGTAAAAAATAAAAAGGCCCTAGTTCAGCAGGAATTCAGGCAAGGACTATAAACAATAATCACATGAAAAGATGTCCATGTCACTCATACTCAGTAAATTTTAAAATAATCACAGACCATTAAAACTGTAGTAGTATAGCTGGATATATTAACCACTACAATTAAGAGAAAGCATGATATTTTTCTTCTGGGGTCTGGTTCTTATTGGAAATGGTTTCAGCTTTTCCTCATTTAATATGATGCTGACTGTGGATTTGTGCCTTGATATGTGGAAGTATGTTCCTTGTATTCCCAGTTTTTAAAGATTTTTGTCATGATGGATGTTGTAGTTTACCAATTGCTTTCTCTGCATCAGTTGAGATAATCATATACATTTTATCCATTTTATTGATGTGATACACCATGTTTATTGATTTGCATATGTTGAACTATCCCTGTATTCCTGGGATGAATCCCACTTGGTCCAGGCGGGTGATCTTTTTGATGTGTTGGATTCAGTTTACTAGTGTTTTGCTGAGTACTTTTGCATCTATGTTCTTCAAGGATATTGGTCTGCAGTTCTCTTTTTTGTTACATCTCTATCTGGTTTTGGAATTAAGGTAATGCTGACCTCATAGAATGAGTTTGGCAAGGTTCCTTCCCTTTCAATTGTGAATAAGAAGAATTTCAATGAGTTCTTCCTTAAAAGTTAGGTAGAATTTAACAGTGAAGCCATCTGGTCCTGGGCTCTTCTTTGATGGGAGGGTCTTTATTGCTGATTCAATCTCAGTCTTGGTTATTGTTCTATTTAAGTTTTGTATGTCTTTGTGCCTCAATTCTGGCAAATTATATGTGTCCAGGAATCAATCCATTTCTTCTGTATTTTCCAGTCTGTTGGCATACAGTTGTCAGTAATCATTCCTAATTCTTGGTGAATCTGTGGTAGCAGTTATAATATCTCCTTTTTCAACTCTGATTTTGTTAATTTGGGTCATCTTCTCCCCCTTTCCTTTTTTTTTGTTGGTTAGTTGAGCCAATGATTTATCAGTTTTGTTTATTTTTTCAAAAAATAGCTCTTCATTTTATTGATCTTTCATATAGTTTTTAGATTCTACTTTTTTTTATTTCTCTAATTTTTATCTGTTTCCTCCTACTAATTTTTGGATTCAGTTTGTTTTTGTTTTTCCTAGGTCCTTGATATGCATTGTTAGATCATTTATTTGATACTTTTCAGATTTTTTGATTACTGTAAACTTTCTTCTTTCTATTTTTTAGAAAACTTTAATAAATATAAATTTCAAAAGTACAACTTTTGGATTATAGTGGTTTTTCCCCCCATAACCACCCTCCCACCCACAAACCATCTCATCTCCTACTCCCCCTCTCATCCCATTCTTCATTAAGATTCATTTTTAATTATCTTTATATACAGAAGATCAACTTAGTATAAACTAAGTAAAGATTTCAACAGTTTGCACCCACACAGACACACAAAGTATAAAGTACTGTTTGAAGACTATTTTTACTGTTAATTCGCATAGTACAACACATTAAGGACAGAGATCCTATGTGGGGAATAAGTGCACAGTAACTCCTATTGTTGATTTAACAGTTGACACTCTTATTTATGGCGTCAGTAATCACTGAAGGCTCTTGTCATGAGTTGCCAAGGCTATGGAAGCCTCTTGAGTTCATCAACTCCAATCTTATTTAGACAAGGCCATAGTCAAAGTGGAAGTTCTCTCCTCCCTTTAGAGAAAGGTACCTCCTTTTTTGATGGCCTGTTCTTTCCACTGGGATCTCACTCAGAGATCTTTCATGTAGGTTATTTTTTTCCACAGTGATTTGGCTTTCCATGCCTGAGAAACTCTCATGGGCTTTTTAGCCAGATCTGAATGCCTTAAGGGCTGATTCTGAGACCAGAGTGCTGTTTAGGGCATTTGCCATTCTATGAGTCTGCTGTGTATCCTGCTTCCCATGTTGGATTGTTCTCTCCTTTTTAATTCTATCAATTATTATTAGCAGACACTGGTCTTATTTATGTGATCCCTTTGACACTTAATCCTATCTTTATGATCAGTTTTTAAACTCATCACTCTAACCAGTAAGATGGCATTGGTACCTGCCACCTTAATGGGATTTGGAGTCCCATGGCATAAACTTCCTCTTAACGTTTCTTTTGCTGTAGCTCATAAGTTTTGATATGTTGTATTTTAATTTTCATTCATTTCAAAGATTTTTATTTCTCTTTTCATTTCTTCTCTGACCTGCTATTCATCCAGGAGCATGTTGTTCAGTCTCCATGTGTTTATATATTTTCTAGAGTTTCTTTTGTTGTGTACTTCCATCTTCATTCCATTGTGGTCAGAAAATAGACACATGATTTAAATTTTTTTTTATTTGTTGAGACGTATTTTATGGCCATGTATGTGGTCTATCCTAGAGAATGTGCATTCTGCAGTAGTGGGATGAAACATTCTGTAACTATCTATTAGGTCTGTTTGGTCTGTAGTACAGATTAGTTCTATTATTTATTGATAATTTTTTTGTCTGGTTGATCTGTCCTTTGATGGAACTGGGGTGTATGAGTCCTCCATTATTATCGTATTGGAGTTAATGTCTCCTTTAAGATCCATTAAGATTTGTTTCATAAAACTGGTGCCCTGGCGTTGGGTGCATGGACATTTACTATAACCACATCTTATTTAATTGACCCCTTAATCATTACATGATGACCTTCTTTGTCTCTTTTAATGGTTTTTGTCTTAAAGTCTATGGTGTATTAGAGTAACTGCTCCTGTTCATTCTTTATTTCCATTTGCATGGAGTATTTTTTTCCATCCTTTCTGTTTCAGTTGGTGTTTATCTTTATTGGTAAAATGTGTTTCTTATAGGCAGCATATAGATGGGTCTTGTTTATAAATATATTCAGCCATTCTGTATCTTTGACTTGAGAATTTAGAATTGATAATTAATGGCTTGCTCCTGCCACTTTTCCATGAATATTCCTGTTGTTTTGAATCTCATTTTTCTGTTACTAGAATGCCTTCACATTCTTTCATGATGCTGAATGTTTTTCTCTGTTTCCATGTGTGCTACATCTTTAAGTATTACTGATAAGGCTGACTGAGTGCTGACAAGTTCCTTAAATTTTTGCTTGTCAGGCTGGCGCTGTGGCATAGCAGGTAAAGCCACTGCCTGCAATGCCAGCATCCCATATGGGCGCTGGTTCAAGTCCAGGCTGCTCCACTTCAATACAGCTCTCTGCTGTGGCCTGGGAAGGCAGTAGAGGATGGCTCAAGTGCTTGGGCCCCTGCTCCCATGTGGGAGACCCAGAAGAAGCTCCTGGTTCCTGGCTTTGGATTGGCTCAGTTCTGGCCGTTGTGGCCATCTGAAGAGTGAGCCAGTGGATGGAAGACCTTTCTCTCTTGCCTCTCCTTTTCTGTGTAACTCTGACTTTAAAATAAATAACTAAATCTTTTTAAAAATTTTTTGATTTTCGGGCCAGCACCACAGCTCACTAGGCTAATCCTCCTCCTGCAGCACCTGTACTCCAGGTTCTAGTGCCGGTCGGGACACCGGTTCTGTCCCGGTTCTTCCAGTCCAGCTCTCTGCTGTGGCCCGGGAGTGCAGTGGAGGATGGCCCAGGTCCCCGGGACCTGCACCCACATGGGAGACCAGGAGGAAGCACCTGTCTCCTGGCTTCCGATTGGTGCAGTGCTGGCCGTGGTGGCCATTTTTGGGAGTGAACCAATGGAAAAAGGAAGACCTTTCTCTCTGTCTCTCTCATTGTCTAACTCTGCCTGTCAAAAAAAATTTTTTCTTTTCTAGGAATGTCTTTATTTCATTTTCATTTATGAATGAGAACTTCACTGGGTAAAGTATGCTGAGTGGGCAGTTTCTTTCTTTTAGGACTTGGACTATAGCTCTCCATTCTCTCCTGGCCTGTAGGGTTTCTGTTGAGAAATCTGCTGTCATTCTGATGGAAGATTCCTTAAAGGCGATTTGGCATTCCTCTTTTACATATTTTAAGGTATCCTTTTTATGTTTTACTTTTAAAGTTTGACTGTAATGTGTCATGGTGAAAATCTTTTCTGATCATGCCTGTGGGTTCCATGTGCTTTTCACATTTGGATGTTCATATCTTTCTCAAAATTGGGGACATTTTCTACTTTATTTCACTAAATAAGTTTTCTAAGCTTTTCTCTTTTCCATATCTTCAGGAACTCCTAAGACTCATAAATTTGGTCATTTGACGATATCCTGTACATCCTAAGACTGTTTTCAGTCCTTCTGTTTTGTCCTTATTTTTTGCCTGAGATATTTCAAAAGACCTGTCTTCTAGATGAGATGATCTTTTGCCTCACCAAGCCTGTTGTAACTTTTTATTTGACTTATTGAGTTTATTTTTACTTGGCTTGTTGAATACACATATATTATTTGACTTCTTGAATGTTTCATTTCTAATATTTTTGTCAGATTTTTCTTTAATACCTCTATCTCTTTGCAGAATTTCTCATCCATGTCATGTATGGATTTCCTTAGTTCATGTAACAGTTTCTCTGTGTGTGTGTGTGTTTTTTTTTTTTTTTTTTTGACAGGCGGAGTTAGACAGTGAGAGAGAGAAAGGTCTTCCTTCCATTGGTTCACCCCCCAAATGGTCGCTACAGCCGGCGTGCTGCACCAATCGGAAGCCAGGAGCCAGGTGCCTCCTCCTAGTCTCCCATGCGGGTGCAGGGCCCAAGGACCTGGGCCATCCTCCACTGCACTCCCGGGCCACAGCAGAGAGCTGGACTGGAAGAGGAGCAACTGGGACAGAATCCGGTGCCCCAACTGGGACCAGAACCCGGAGTACCGGTGCTGCAGGCAGAGGACCAGCCCAGTGAGCCGCGGCGCTGGCCTGTGTGTGTGTGTGTGTGTGTGTGTGTTTGACAGGCAGAGTGTACAGGGGGAGAGAGAGAAAGGGAGAAAGGTCTTCCTTTTGCCATTGGTTCACCCTCCAGTGGCCGCCGCAACCAGTGCACTGCGGCCGGTGCACCTAGCTGATCTGGCAGGAGCCAGGTGCTTATCCTGGTCTCCCATGGGGTGCAGGGCCCAAGCACTTGGGCCTTCCTCCACTGCCTTCCCGGGCCACAGCAAAGAGCTGGCCTGGAAGAGGGGCAACCGGGAAAGAATCTGGCGCCCTGACCGGGACTAGAACCTGGTGTGCGGGCGCCACAAGGCGGAGGATTAGCCTGTTGAGCCGCGGCGCTGGCCACAGTCCAATATTAATGTATTATTATATTCCTTTTGGGGAGTCATTTTGCCTTCCTTGTTCATGTTAATTTTTTTCCACATTGGTTTGGGGTTTTTTTAAAAGATTTATATTTTATTTATTTGAAAGGCAGAGTTACAGAGAGAAAGAAAAGGGACAGAGAGAGAGGTCTTCCATCTGGTTCACTCTCCAAATGGCTACCATGGTCGAGGCTGTTCCTAAAACCAGGGACCTGGAGCTTCTTCCAGGTCTCCCACGTGGGTGCAGGGGCCCAAGCCCTTGGGCCATCTCCTACTGCTTTCCTAGACCATAGCAGAGAGCTGGATTGGAAGTGGAGCATCCAGGACTCAAACCAGCACCAATATGGGATGCCGGCACTGTAGGCAGTAGCCTTACCTGCTACACCACAGCACTAACTCTTCTACATGGTTTTTTATGCATCTGAGGGAATCACTTGTCATCCCTTGGGGATGGATTTTTTTTTTTTTATTGTTATTGAAGGTTTCATTCTTTGACTTGTGCCTCTCTGGGTCAGTGGAGGGCCTGAGACTTGTACTGGAGTTCCAGAGGTGTGTGCTAGGTGAAACCAGGAAGCTCTGTCCACCATTGGGAGTGGGGTAAGAGTCTAGAGTGACACCCAAGTTGGGCTGCTATACCACCTCTGGCTTCAGTCAGCAGTAGGAGGGGATCTTGGAACTAGTGTGTTCAAAATCCCAGCCCTTCTGTGTGCCAAAATGAACCGGCTTATTTACAGCCTAGAGTGAACTCACGGTGCCCGTGCACCCCACCCACCCAGACACTCACACCATACAGAACACGAGCCTACTTCGGGGTGTGTCCCCTGAGCCCTCTGTGAGATCTGTCCGCAGTTGCAGGGAACTCAGTTTCTGCAGTCAGGCTGCACAGGTGCACAGCAACCCAGCCACATCCTAGAGCCCGCTCAGCTCCGCGGCCTGTGCCCCGGACTCAGTCACAGGGACAAGAGGCCTGCTCTCCGCCCTGGGAGCTGCCTCGTACCCAGCGTGAGCTCCCTGCAGCTCCCGAATCAGGACACAGATCAGCCACAACTCCACCTCAGCAAATCGAGACTGGCACTTTGGTGGGTGGAGGGGAGAGAAGAAGCAGCGTGGTCTCCCTTCACGGAGTAAAGTAGTTGCTCGGCACCCCCGCCAGTCCCCCCGGCCAGACTGAAAGCCAAGGCGGACCGGGGAATTCTCCCTCAGTCAAAGCCACCAGTGGCGTGGGCTGCAGCATCCTGTTCTCACCTCGCCTGAGCAGGTGGCGGTCCCAGCCAGGCACCTGCCGTGAATGTGCAGGCGTCACTGGTGGCATGCAGCCAATGGATGTGTGTTTGTCCTCTCCCTACTGTTCTGTGGAGCCTCTGCCCTGTTCTGTCACTCTTCACTGAGAACATCTCTCAATGAGTCCCCTGGGAACACGGTCTTGCCTTTGTGTTTCTGGTATCCATGGTGGCTGAGGTCAGTGTGGCTTCTCCCTATTCAGCCACCGTGGATCTCCCCATTTTTGCTTATACAGCACTCTCCCAAGACTTATATCCAGGACCTTGCAGGTTTGCATGTGCTGTTGTTGACCAGAGCTTTATTTGAGTCAGAGGGGCATTGGTCAGGGCAGAAGGGAAAGTGGGCATGGGGAGGACTCCCCGATTCTCAGCTGAATGTTCCTGCTTCAGCACGAAGCGGAGGTGGAGAACTCTGTGCCTCGCTAGAAAGGTTTCCAGAGCAGCCAGGCAGAGAGCCCCCGTCCTGTTAGGTCAGGGAGCACTGTGCTCCGAGCAGCACCTGGTTTACCTCGATGGGCCTGCCCGAGTTCAGAACTGCAAGACCTGCACCCTGGGGAACTCCGTAGTTCCGCACAAATCCAGAGGGTCATTGTTGCTTGCAGTGCAGACAAGCTCGGCATCGATAGACAAGGCTTCAAACCTACAGAGAGAAAAGGCAAAAATAGACCAACGGAACCATGCAGACCAAATCTTCTGCACAGCACAGGAAACCTGTCAGCAGAGTGAAGAGATAACTTCCATAATGGGAGGAAATGTCCGTAGACTGTCATCCAGCCAGGGGTAAATATCCAGAACATACAAGGACCTCGGGGCCGGCGGCAGTGCATAGTAGGTTAAGCCACCACCTGCGGTGCCAGTATCCTTTATGGGTGCTGCTTCACATCCCAGCTGCTCCTCTTCTGATCAGGCTCTGTGCTATGGCCTGGGAAAGCAGAAGAAGATGGCCCAAGTCCTTGGGCCCCTGCACCCGCATGGGAGACCCAGAGGAAGCTCCTGGCTCCTGGCTTCGGATCAGCGCAGCTCCTGCTGTTGCAGCCATTTGGAGAGTGAACCAAAGGGTAAGAGACCTCTCTGTTTCTCCCTCTCTCTTTATGTAATTTCTCCTCTCAAATAGATAAATGAATCTTTAAAAAAAATAAAGTTAAAAAGGACCTCAAACAACTCAACAGCAAAAAAAAATCTGATTAAAAATGGGTAGATGATCTACATAGACATTTCTCATATGAACAAGTATAAATGGCCAACAACTACATTAAAAAATGTCCAGCATCACTAATCATCACAAAATGCAAATCCAAACCACAGTGAAGGCCAAGCATTTGACTTTAGTAGTCTGGATGCAGGTTCATCCATTCACGTCCCTGCGTTCAAGACTCGACCGGTTCCTGACTCCAGCTTCCCGCCAATGCAGACCCTGGGGGGCAATGGCTGTGTCTCTAATGGTAGGGCTTTTGTCACTCACACGGGAGAGCTGGGTTGTGTTCCCACCACTTGGCTCCCAGCTTCAGCGTGGCTCAGTTCCCACTGTTGTAGGCATTTGGGGGATGAACCAAATGATGGGATCTCTCATTTTCTTTCTCTCTTCCCCCAAAATAAATAAATAAGAACCCATGATGAGTTATCATCTCACACCAGTTAAAATGTCTATAATTTAAAAAAAATAATAACAAATTCTGGGGAGGATGCAGAGAAAGAGAAATTCTTACACACTGTTGGCTGGAATGTAAATTAGTACAGCCATTATGGAAAACAGAATAGAACTTCTTCAAAAAGCTAAACATAGAAATACGACGTGACCCAGCGATCCCACTGCTGGGTTTGGTTCCAAGAGAAATGCAGTCAATCTGTCAAAGAGGCGTCTGCACACTTCTGCTCACTGCAGCAGTGTTCTCAAGGCCAGGACAGGGAATTAGCGTATGTTTCTGTCAGTGGATGAATGGATAAGAAAAATATGGAACGTGTACACAAGTGGAATATTATTCAGTCATAAAAAAGACTGCAGTCCTGTCATCTGTGGCAGTAGAGATGGAGCACTATGCTAATGGAGTAAGCCAGGCACAGGCAGACAAACGTAGCGTGTTCTCACTCATACATGGAAGCAGAAACTGTGGACCTCTTGGAAGCAGAGAGAATAGTGCTTACCGGAGGCTGGGCGGGGTACCAGGGAAGGGGATAGAGAACAGTTGGCTAATGAGTACAAATACAGTTTTAAGGAGGATGACGTGCTAGTGTTTCATAGCACAGTGGGGCAACTGTGGTTGGCAGCCATTTATTGCATGTTTCAAAACAGCTAGAAGAAAGGATTTTGAATGTTCCCAATACAAGGAAGTCATACATGTTTGAGATGACGATATGTTAATTACCCTGATTTGATCAGTACATACTGTATACATGTATCAAAATATCACACAGAACTCCAACAAGATGTACAATTATTATGTGTCAGTTTAAAATAAGCCAACTTGGGACTAGCACTGTGGCCCTGCCACCCACATGGGAGACCCAGATGTTACTTCAGGCTCCTGCCTTTGGCCTGACCCAGCCTTTTGGGAGAGTGAATCAGGGTTTGCAAGATTCTCTCTCTGTCTCTCTGTTTCTCTCTCTCTCTCTCAAATAAAAATGAAAATAAGTAAGTTTTTGAAAAATTGTAGCATGTCTTAAGATTTACATTTAACAAAGTAACCCACTTAAAACACTTCAAATATGCAATTTATTATGTTCATGCTATTCGTAAAATAATTTCAGACTTTTAAGGACATTAAATTACACACCCCATAAGTTAAAAAATGTAAGGTGAGCATCTTCTCCTTTCTGTTGGTCTAACTCTATGACTGCAGGAATGACCCTACAGAGCTGAGACATCGAAATTCTAAATGTAAGGTTCCCCACTGATGCAAGACCTGGCTGTGACAGGTCCAAATGGGGTGGGCAGGGTGAGTGGTCAGCTCACCTTTAAACTGGCAAAATGTAAGAGACTGGGGAGGGGGTTACCAAGAACAAGGCATGCCTGCCCCAGGCTTACCCTACGGCGACACTGTAGGGAATTTTTAAAGAATAATAAAACTGGCTGAGGGGGCTGGGGGTACTTCATTCATCGCCAATTATGAAGCTGCTCACCAGCATCCCCTGTCAGAGTCGCTGAGTCCCGGCTGCTCTGCTTCCAATCCAGCTTCCTGTTAACGCACCTGGGAAACCAGTGTCTGATGGCCTGAGTCCTTGGGCCCCTGGCACCCACACAGGAGACCTGGATAGAGTTCCTAGCTCTTGGCTTCCGCCTGGCCCAGCCCCAGCCGCTATGGCCATTTCGGGAGTGAACCAGCAGACTGGAAGATTCCTCCCTTCTCTCCCTCTCACTCTGCCTCTCTTTCACGTAAATGAATAAATCATTAAAAAAAAAAAAAACTGCTTTGGAGAGCAGGATGTCCAGCTTCCCAGTGCAGACCTCTGAAGTGCGAGCAACGAACAGCGAGTTAAAAATGGGTGCTGTTGAGCAAGGCAGGAACGTTTTTGTCCAGAAGGGTGCCTGGTGCCACACTGTGGAAAGGGGGGCAAGCACAAGACTGGACCAAGTCTCCCTGGTCTGTTTGGGCGGAAGACAGGCAAGACAGTTGGCTTCCCCTGCACGGATACCACCAAGAGCAAACGCATCCCCTGGGGAGGATTTGGAGAATCCAAGAAATACATCCTGGAACCAAAATGATCCTCGCTGGCATTAAGACAAGAATGAAAGGGCAGGCTTGATAGCTCATCTCAGAAATGATACTAATGAGTAATGATTGGCAACTGCCTCATTTATTACAAAACTGGAATGCCTCATGACTTTTTTATGTGCACCATAATTAAATTCTCATGAATGGCTGACAAAATATTTTTCTCCGACAGTCCTGATTTAAATAAAGTTGCCTCGTGTGGTTACATAAATATGGTTGGGTTTACTGAAAGTTTGGTAGTAATTCCAGTTCCGTAATTGCCCTTACTGTTTTCCCCTTCCAAGGATATGATTGGACTCAACTAATAACGTTCAGCTCTTCGCAAAGATTGTGAATGCCATCCCAAAACCTGCTGGGAGATTGGTCTTTGATCTGTTGCTTCATTCCCCCAAACAACTGCAACGGCCGGCCAGAGCCGAACAGCTCTGAAGTCAGGAGCAGGAGTGGTCAGAGTTAAGACAGAGTCACTTGTGTCAGCCCTAACAAAACCAATCAGTGCGGCCAGGAGGTTATGAAGAAAGGGTTGTTAGATGTAATCACCTGATACTAATGATCACAAAAGACTCCACCAGAACCACATTACACAGAGGCCACCACAGCCTTAGGCCACAGCCTGCAGCACCAGCATCCCATAAGGGCACTGGTTTGAGTCCCTGCTGCTCCTCTTCTCATCCAGCTCCCTGCTAATGAGCCTAGGAAAGCAGTGGAAGATGACCCAAGTGTTTGGGCCCCTTGCACCCATGTGGAAGACTGGGAAGAAGCCCCTGGCCCCTGGCTTTGACCTGGTCCAGCCCAAGCCGTTGGTGACAATTTGGAGAGTGAACCAGCGGATGGAAAATCTCTGTCTCTCTCTAACTCTGCCTTTCAAATAAATCAACATTTACACACACACAAAAATGATACTTCTGCAAGGACACCTGCCCATCAATGGTCTGTCCAATCTCAGACTAATGCCTCCTTGCTTACTACTCATTGTGGCTGAAGATAATTGTCTCAAAACATTTGATGCAACCCTCCTCTTCATTTTTCCCTTTAAAACCTTTCCTTTGCCTCAACCTCCTTGAATCTTCCTATAGTTTACTATAGCATTGTATATTGGCACTGTGATGCCATGGTAATTCCATTGCCATGCTCTGGCACTCCCATATGAATGCCATGATTCTCCAGGGAGCCTCCCTCTCTCTGATTCTTGTCTGCATTAGGTTGACAACCCAGAGAAGCCCAGAGCAGGTGCAGAGGGAGCCCTTCGCCCTCGTTTCCCCAGCTTGCTGTTCTCTGCCCGGGTGAATCTGCTGTCAGGTTGAGGCAGAGGCCCCCTGCTGACTTTATTTGGGGTGCTCTGAAAAGGTTGCTTCAACAAGCCTGCAGGCAGCCGCCTCACGACTGTGGGCTCCGGTGAGTGCTCACGTCGAGGTTCTCTTGTGTTCTGAGTGGGAGTTCACGTCTTCCCTTGGCTTCTGAGGACACCTGGCAGAATTCCGTTCTAACCAGTAAGGAAGCTGCCCCCCCTCTGCCTGCTTTGGCAGCACCCCTGGAGCTCTGGAGCGCACGGTGACATCTTGTGGCCTCTTTCTCGTAACTGCTTTCCACGATTCTTCAATGACAGAGAGTTAATCTGCACAGGCGTCTGGTCTCTGTCTAGCTCTCTGTTTTTTCCCTCTGCCTACTTTGAATCTGCTTTTTTTTTTTCTATACTAAGATAATTTGGTTTTGCAAGTTTGCTTGGAAGTTTGTTATTTCAGCCAGTCCTGGCTGAAATGTAAACATTGAAAGAAGTTAACTCCTAAACTCATTGGAGATGGAAAAAAAAAAAAAAACTAAGCTGCTTTGAGAATAAATAAGCTGTTTTAAATTTGTTGGTAAAAATATCTTCAACATTTTAGCATACATTCTGCCTGGTTTGCTGGCCAGTCAGAGTTATATTTATTTCTTTAAACATCCAAGATCATGAGAGTGTAGGAGCCGACATTGTGGCATAGCGGGCTAAGTTACCACTTGTGGGGAGCAACTCGGACTAGACTAAGTTACTGGAATTAAGACTTATTCTATGCATCTGCTCTCCCACAATATGGCGCTGGGAGAGGAGGAAACAGCTTCTACGCAGCTGCCTCTTGCCAACTTGAGTGATGACCTCCAGGAGCTGATCCTGCTCCTGATTGGAGGAGAGCAGCGTACTCGGCATGTGGGCAGCTGAGTTGGGATTGGCGGAAGAGGACTATAAAGGAGGAGAGAGACAACATGCACCAGGGACATCTAAGAGGAACATCTATCTGAAGGAACACCTGTGCAGCCCCCGAGAGAGCCGGCCTGCGGTGTGCCACTCTCCTGCGGAAGTGGGGAAAGTGGCTAGGGGGAACCGCCCTTCCACGGAGGTGGAAGGGTCGGTAGCCAACCCGGGAAGAACCAGCAGCAAACCTGGGAAGGGCCAAGCAGACAAAAGAACAGCGCAGGGTCCTGTGTCGTTCCTCCACGAAGACGGGGAACGACACCACTTATGGCACAGCATCCCCTATCAGAGCATGGGTTGTAATCCCAGCTGCTCTGCTTCTGATCTAGTGCCCTGCTAATGCACCTGGGAAAGGTGGCCCATGTGCTTGGGTCCCTATCACCCATGCAGGAAACCCAGATGGAGTTCCAGGCTCCTGGCTTTCGCCTGAACCAGTCCCAGATCATTGCAGCCAGTTGGAGAGTGAACCAACAAATGGGAGATCTCTCTCTCTCTGTGTCACTTTGACTTTCGAATAAAATAAACAACTATTTTTAAGATCATAAGAGTATAAGCTTGGCCTAACAATAAATAAGCAAGTAAAATATAATAACACAATGTCCATTTCTTCTGTCAACTATATCATTTTATCTTACAGGGTTTTTCTTTGGTAAGAAAATAAAATGATGACTGTTCTTGTCTGCTGTCTCAGTTTTCATAATCTAGGAACAATTGCTACAAATAAATAAGTCGAGCAATGTAACTGAGATAGATGTTTCTAGATACAAATTCAAGTGTTCTTGACTTTTTTTTTTTTTTTTTTTTTTGACAGGCAGAGTGGACAGTGAGAGAGAGAGAGAGAGACAGAGAGAAAGGTCTTCCTCTCTTGCCGTTGGTTCACCCTCCAATGGCCGCTGCGGCCGGTGCACCGCGCTGATCTGAAGCCAGGAGCCAGGTGCTTCTTCCTGGTCTCTCATGCGGGTGCAGGGCCCAAGCACTTGGGCCATTCTCCACTGCACTCCCGGGCCATAGCAGAGAGCTGGCCTGGAAGAGGGGGAACCGGGACAGAATCTGGTGCCCCGACTGGGACTAGAACCCCGGGTGCCGGCGCCACAGGCAGAGGATTAGCCCATTGAGCCGTGGCGCCGGCCGACTTCTTAACTTCTATAAAATAAGCAACATGTTTGGCTCTATCAAAAAATACAACAGTTTTCAGAAACTGTTGGTATATAACAAACAATTCAAGACTGCTTTAAAGTTACTTAGAGTTTAAAATTCTTTATATTCTTGGGACCGGGGCTGTGGCATATTGGGTAAAGCTGCCACCCTCAGTGCCGGATCCCTTATGGGTACCCGTTTGTGTCCCTGCTGCTCCACTTCTGATCCTGGTCCCTGTTAATGTGCTTAGGAAAGTAGTGGAAGATGGCCCTGGTGCTCAGGCCCCTGCACCCACGTGGGAGACGAAGAAACAGTTCCTGACTCCTGACTTCGGATTGACCCAGGTCTGACCATTGCAGGGTCTCCCAAGTGCTGGGGCCCAAGCACCTGGGCCATCATGCATTGCCTTCCCAGGCCGTTAGCAGAGAGCTGCATTGGAAGAGGAACAGCCAGGACTCATACCACTGCCCATATGGAATGCCAGCACCACAGGCAGAGAGGCTTAACTTTTCTAGGCCACAGCACAAAGCCCAAGGACAAATCTTGTGAAAAGAAATTTGTATGTGATGAAGTTGGCTATAATTATAAAAAAATTATAATAAATATTAAGTATTAACACACTGATATAAAACAATTTAATTCTCTATGTTTAAAGCAAGATTATCTTAAAATATTGATCTGCTCTTAATAAAATTTAGAAGAACTGGCCTAAGAAGCTAAGACTTTGTTAAGATAATTTCTTATGTTTTCTACTGCCCTTATTTGGTTTTGGTTAATTAGGAAAAACTGAGTCTTAAAAGAGTTAATTTTTTTACATCTATTTGCTTTTTAAGTCTTTTAAATGATCACTTTATTAATTCTGGTTAAAACACTAATTAAATGAAAGATGATTATTTCACAATGATTTGTGATCTTCTTTGACCAGATGTTTTGAATCTTTTGACAATTTTTTTTAAGATTTATTTATTTATTTGAAAGTCTGAGTTACACAGAGAGAGGAGAGGCAGAGAGAAAGAGAGAAAGGTCTTCCATCCAACGGTTCACTCCCCAGATGGCTGCAACAGCCAGAGCTGTGCCAATCCAAAGCCAGGAGCCAGGAGCCAGGAGCCAGGAGCCAGGAGCCAGGAGCCAGGAGCTTCTTCCAGGTCTCCCACATGGGTGCAGGGGCCCAAGGACTTGAGCCATCTTCCACTGCTTTCCCAGGCCATAGCAGAGAGCTGGACAGGAAGTGGAGCAGCCGGATCTCGAACAGGCACCCATATGGGATGCCGACGCTTCAGGCCAGGGCGTTAACCCATTGCGCCACAGTGCCAGCCTCATTGATGACTATTGTTTAAAAGTTATATTTGTATGGGTATATTATTAACGTTCTGAACATGTAAAATTTATAGAAGTGTTATGTTCCTGTTACGGCATTGTCAATCATGGTTGTTATCTTAGAATGCTAAATGCAATAAAAATAACTCAATGACCTTGTCAGTGGCTAAACACTAATCAAAATTGTAACCATGGGAACAAACCTAGCAGTTATCACTCCGCATTCCACCTTGGAGAGCCTGGGCTGGATTTCAGCTCCGCCTCCTGACTCCTGCTTCTTGCTGCTGCGGATCCTGAGATGCAGCAGTGGTAACTCGGGTAATTTGGGTTCCTGCCCCCCATATGGGGCACCCCGATTAAGTTCCTGGCACTAGGCTTTAGTCCAGGCCCAGCCCTGGCCAGTGTAAGTATTCGGGGGGTGAACCAGTGAATGGGAGCTCTGTCTCTAGCTCTGCCTCTCTTTGCCTCCCAAATAAATAAGGAAAAAATGTTAAAGCAATTTTAACCATAGTTATTCTGTGTCTTTTGCTATCCACAGTTTTGATTCTTCTCCAAAAGCATTTACAATCAAATTCATGATAAAGAGCCTAAAAAGTATTCTTAAGTGCAGTTTTCTGACAAAACTAAATTCATCTTACAAACAAATTGGTTTTTCTGTAGTTATCTTTGGTAAAATTGGTATAACTATACGGAAAAAAAGTTTTCTTTCTTGGCTTGAAAAACTATTATGCAGACTGGATTTGTTATGCTCTTGTTGGGTTTATTTTGTGTTTCCCTTTTTACGCTTTGTACTTTTTGCATATCAAAATTTTGCGAAAGTACAACTCCTAACAGATGAAGCTAAACTTAACAGTGGACTCCACGCGGTCTTAGCCTGAGAACTCCTCCTTCGAAACTTGCTTGTTGCTCATTGTGGCTAAACTGCTTGCATACTGACTCCTGACCATCATCACTTTACTCCCGTGTGGGACCAGACCACCCCGGGAATGAGGGACAATCAAACCCCGACCACAGCACTCCTCAGTGATGTTCTCAGAGAAAAGATCTTGCACAAAAAGGGAAAGTGTGAAAGGAGTGGAAAAGTTGTCAGAATCAAAATGGAGTCACTTGTGTCAACCCCCCCCCCCCAAAAAACTAAAATGAATAAAACCGGGAGCTTATGAAGAAAGGGTTGTTACCCATGGTTACCTGATAGTAACTACGGCAAAACACGCCTCCAGAGCCGCAGCTTCACACAGAGGCTGCCGCAGCCTTGACAAGAAGTACACCTCCAAGACACCTGATCAGCCTTGGTCACTTCCACCTTGGACTAATGTCACCTTGCTTGTTAATCATTGTGGCTGAAGGTAATTGTCTCAGAACAGCTGACATGATCCTCCTCCCTTTTGCCTTTAAACCTTTTCCTTGCCTCAACCTCCGTGACTGCCCGTGGCATGCATATTCCCCCTGCAAGCTCTGGTATTCACAGAGAGAGATCACAATTCATTAGAAAGTCTCTCTCCCTGATTGCTGACTGTTTTTTGACTTAGGTTGACACTAACAAAAGGCAGAGAGGAACTGAAATTAGTGAAATCAGCCATTTTTCTTGTTCCCAGCCTACCCATCATGGATCTAGAGTTTCAGTAGCAGGTGGCACAGGGAACCAAGAGTGGACTCTGAGACTAGCAAGAGACTGATCCAGACCCCAATCTATAGTTGCTGCACAGCCTGCACGTTACAGACTCAACTGTGCTTCCCCAAAATTCCTGTGTTGAAGTCCCCAACCTCAGAATGAGGCTGCCTTTGGAGATAGGACTTTTAGAGAAGTAACTAAGATAACACCAAGTTGTAGCAGTGGGCCCCAAACCGGCCTGGGCCATGTCCTTACAGGAGGAGATTGGGACAGACACACAACAGAGGGAAGACCGTATGGAGACACAAGGACAAGATGGCCACCTGCAAGCCAAGGAGAGAGGTCTCAAAGAAACCAACGCTGCTGGCACCTCCAGCACTGTGAGGAAGTAAATTTTTCCTTGATTCAGCCGTCCAGTCTATGGTATTTCATTATGGCATCCCTAGCTAACAAACACATGGGGTCAGTGCTTTAACTCCCCTGGGTCACCACAAAGAGGGTTTAGTGCTTAATTTATTGGGTTGCTTTGAGGATTAAATGAAACTGAAAGCATCTGGCACGTCGAGGTGCTCAATAAATATTTCTTCCCTCTCTGAATCAGTGCCTATTTTTAAGGCTGAAGAAGGATTTATGTATAATTACTGAAACTGTGCTTCAACTGTCTGATTAGCTGTTCCATATATAGCAGATTCCCAAGTCTCCCAGAGCCTGGAGCGAGTCCAGGAGCTCAGCACAGCCTGCCCACCGTGGGAACCAGGCAGGTGCACGAGGGTTCTTGTGAGCAGCTGCAAAGGCCTGGAAGAGCAGGTAGGACTCAAAGACATGGGTGGGAAGGGGGTGTGGGGTGAGGGTGCAGTGGGGAGGGAGCCACAGATAACGTGGGGAAGGTTCAATGCTGCCCAGGGTGCTCTGAGGAGGCCAGGGCATCAAAGACGCAAAGGTAGGGTTTGTTCCGATGGCGAGGACATCAAGGTGGCTGGAGCCACAGCCCTGTAAGGCTCTGTGAGGCAGAGAGGCGGAAAAGCAGGACCAGGTTTGGTGGTGTCTGTGTGAAGCTGGACCAACCTCAGGAGCAGAGACCACAGAGAGGAGCCTTCTCCCCCAGCCCAGACGCTGGTGGAAGGGGGCTGGGCAGCAGGAGCCTCACAGGGAAAGTGCAAGAGCAGGTTTGAAGGAAGGATGAGCAGGATTTGAAATGTTCCATTCAGACACTCGCGCAATTTCTAGGTGTTAAACCGGTTCAGTGCATTCCACATTTGAACACATTCATGGAAATTGGAGGCTTTTATTTATTTATTTTTTTTTTATTTTTTATTTTTTTTATTTTTTTGACAGACAGAGTGGACAGTGAGAGAGAGAGACAGAGAGAAAGGTCTTCCTTTGCCGTTGGTTCACCCTCCAATGGCCGCCGCGGCCGGCGCGCTGCGGCCGGCGCACCGCGCTGATCCGATGGCAGGAGCCAGGAGCCAGGTGCTTTTCCTGGTCTCCCATGGGGTGCAGGGCCCAAGCACCTGGGCCATCCTCCACTGCACTCCCTGGCCACAGCAGAGGGCTGGCCTGGAAGAGGGGCAACCGGGACAGAATCCGGCGCCCCGACCGGGACTAGAACCCGGTGTGCCGGCGCCGCTAGGCGGAGGATTAGCGGAAATTGGAGGCTTTTAAAAACATCTCATCGAGGTTCCATGTCTTCTGAACCTGTGCTATTGGTCACTGGTTTGTGGGTTCCCCTGAAAATTTTCCAAGGTAAGAGTAAGTCAAGAATAGATTTTAAATGTCCACTGATGGATGGATGGAATTTAAAAAGGAGGTATATGCATACAGTGGAATACTGTTTGGCCTTGAAGAAGAAGGAAATCCTATCACTTACTACAACATGGGTGAACCTTCAGGGCTTTGTGCTAAATGAAGTAAGCCTAACACAGAACCCAAAGCCTGCCTGAGTCCACTTGTGGGAGGAGCACAAAGTAGCCAGACCTCAGAAGCAGAGGCAGAGCGGTGGGTACCAGGGCTGCAGAGAAAGGGAGTTGCTATCCAGTGGGTGTAGCGAGAGCTTCCACTCTGCAATGTGAAAAAGCCCCCGAGATAATTAAGTAGAGTGATTAGAACCACTGAACTGTTTGCTTAAATAGGGTCAGCATGGCCAGTTTTATGTTCTGGATTTTTCACCACAAATATTAGTGAATGGATTCTAGGGGCGACCTAGCAGTTAGGATGCCCGTGTCCTACATCAGAGTCCTGGGTTCAGCTCCTGCCTCTGGCTCCTGGCAACTATAGTACATGAGACCACCTCTGTCTGGGTCTCATATATATGTCCTAGAGAGACTTTAATCTCAGTGTTTGACAGTGGCAGGAGCAGGGCTTGCACACACCTGTGACGGGAGATGTCCGTGCATACTCTCCTGTTTTCCTCACAGTTCAGGCTACCCCACTGCCACCGATCATTCAGGTTTCTCTCAGCACCTGTCATTTCTCTACTCTCGGGGGCAGTCATCTGTGGGTTTACGATCTTGCCCTATACAGTACACAACACAGTAGAATAACACTCCAAAGTCACGCTCAGTAAAGAAAAATGTGTTATGCATTTAGTTCATGAACACATGACGGATGGGGGCACCTGTATCGTTCTAACTTTCATCTACAAAATCCTAGTTTTGCTCACAGTAGGCCCCTAAGGAAAAACATTTGAATTTTGTTATGTTTCTGACAAGGTGCAATCTTTTGGCTCTCATAATCTGACGTGCTACTCATTTGTCTGCTCATCTGTAGTGAGATTTGTGGGGAACAACTCGGACTAGACTAAGTTACTGGAATTAAGACTTATTCTATGCATCTGCTCTCCCACAATATGGCGCTGAGAAGGGAGTAACAACTTCTACGCAGCTGCCTCTCGCCAATTTGATTGACTGAGCTGCAGGAGCTGATCTTGCTCCTGATTGGAGGAGAGCAGCGTACTCGGCGTGTGGGTAGCAGAGTTGGGATTGGTGGAAGAGGACTATAAAGGAGGAGAGAGACAACATGCACCAGGAACATCTAAGGGGAACATCTATCTGAAGGAACACCTGTGCAGCCCCCGAGAGAGCCGGCCGGCGGTGTGCCGCTCCCCCGCGGAAGTGGGGAAAGTGGCCAGGGGGAACCGCCCTTCCACGGAGGTGGAAGGGTCAGTAGCCCACCCGGGAAGAACCAGCAGCAAACCCGGGGAGGGCCGAGCAGACGAAAGAACAACGCAGGGTCCTGTGTCGTTCCTCCACGAAGACGGGGAGCGACAGAGATTGGGTGGCCACACACAGGGAAAGTGCCCTCTTCAAGTCCCAACATAAAAGGCACGACCTAGCTTATTTTTCTACTCAGTCCTGACACCCGAGACCACTGGATGCTTGCTCAGGTCTAACAGGCTGGTATGGGAGCGAGACTCACCTAGACATGGCCTGGGGATGGGGAAATGTCTGAGATGTGAAATCCAGAGCCGTGCTTCCCCAGATGCGGGCTTCGGCACAGCCGCCCAGCTGGAACCCAGCCTTGCTGAGCTGCCCAGGCTCCCTGGCTGCTCTGACCCGTCCCTACCCTCATGTAACTCCTCCTCTCCTGCTGTACCCTCTTTCTCCAACTCCAGGAACCCCACTTCTGTGAGAACTTACCCCTGGATCTCTGTTTCTTCATAGCCTGCTACCCCTAGGGGCATTGGGGCTGGTGTTTATTTCTTCTTCTTCTTCTTCTTACCAGTGTTTTCTTTATTGAAATTTTCAAAAGGAATACAATGTTTATGTAGAACTAGTCAGAATTTATTACTGTTATTTTCAAAATTGGATTTGCTAATGGAAGAGTAGTTTCCAACGAGGCATTTAAATCAAAGGCAAAATGTGTTGCCGTTAATAAAAATGAAATGTTACTAGCTTACAAAATGTGAAATAGTCATGTTATTAGCCAAAATAAAATGTAAATGAATTATTCCTCTGTTTGTTGGTCAGTGACCAAGAGAGGAAAAAGTCATAAACAGCAAAAATGAACCACAAAAACCAAAGCTAATGTAATTCAGGTTCTGAAACTTTTGCACCTGACCAAGATGGAGTAACAGGGAGAAGATTTATCTTTTTTTTTATCATACATACATTTATTTACTTATCTGAAAGAGTGACAGAGGGAGAGGCAGAGAGAGCTTCCATCTGCTGATTCATTCCCTAAATGACTACAACAGTTAGGGCTGGGCCAGGCCCAAAGCCAGGAGCCAGGAACTCCATCCAGGTATCCCAGGAGCCCAAACACTTGGACCATCATCCACTGCCTTCCCAGGCACAATAGTAGGAAACTGGATCAGAAGTGGAGCAGCGGGGACTGGCACCAGCACTCCAATATGGAACGCTGGCATCACAAACAACAGCTTAACCTGCTGAGCACAGTGCCAGCACCAGGCTTATCTTTATTCCTGAAACAAATCCTCCCCATTCCCCCAAAACATACATGACATGATGGTTTCAGGGCACTGAACTTGAGGGAAGGAAAGACAGCGAGCGATCCCTGGGGTATGGGGACAAACAGGCTAAGCCCCCTCCCCCCCATTGCCCCAGCTCTCTCCTTAGAGTTTCCAGGCCACGCTGCAGAAAGGAGAACTCCATCAGGAGCATGGAGAACTCCCTGGGTGGAGGAGCTGCAGCTGAGAGACCCAAGAAAGAGAGTTTGCAGGACAGAACCAGGGAGGCTCGAGCTGTGGTCAGCAGAGGACTGCCCAGTGCCTGTGTGCAAGGCAAACACAGTGGCTCCAGAAAGAACCATCAGAGAGGATGGGGGACAGGGAGTTCGAGGGCACTAGCATTATCCTTAATTCTGACTTCAGTAGTAATGACTTGGATGTTCATTTTCTCATCAGTCATTGGCTCTTCATTTCTTACACACTTTTCTATAAATGTTACACTTCAAAATTTTTTAAAAATGTGATATATGCTCTCAAATTACCGTTTTAAACTTTCTATGTAAATCTGCATCTGGACTCACAATGAGCTGAGTGCACGACTTCCCCAGCCTCTCCCTTGTCCAAAGAAGACCCCTTTCCCATGATTCCATGAGAACTCTTGCAGATATGAAGCCCTAAGCTATGATGCTGATAATCGTGGGACCGTGAAGCACGCCACGACTTTCTGTAGAAACGTGGGACTCTAATCTTGATTTGCTGTTTTCTCTTTGCCATTCTAAGACTGGGAGGGAGAGTGGGTGTCTTATGCAGCAGCTAAGAGGAAGGAGGTCTCTGCTTTTTGAATACATAACTTTTAAAATTTTTTTTCATTCCTTCCTTACATGAAAGTAGTAAGGTAATTTAAAATATTGGAAATACCAGAAAAAATAGGAATTCTGGCTACTGTAGTTACATCTTTAAAAAGCTGAGACCAGGAGCTGATACTGTGGTGCAGTGGTTTAAGCCTGTGATGCCAGCATTCCATATCAGAGCACTGGTTAAGAGTCCCAGCTGTTTCACTCCCTTCTCAGCTCAATGCTAATGTGCCTGGGAAGGTAGTGGAAGGTGCTCCAAGTGCTTGAGCCCCTATCACCCACATGGGAGACCAGGATGGTGTTCTTGGATTTGATTTGGCCCAATCCTGGTCATTGTGACCATTTGGGGAATGAGCCAATGGATGGAAGATCTCTGTGTGTGTGTGCGTATCACTGCTCTCAAATAAAAAATCTTTGAAAAAAAATAAAGACAAAGTCATTCTCTGGAAAAAAGACAGTATTTTCAATAAATGGTGTGGGAAAAATAGGATCTCTGCATGCAGAAGTATGAAACAAGACCTTATACCCTATATAAAAAATCACCTCAC